TTTTTTGGGCCGTGCGGACGTGCCGAGTGGGGACGTGCACGTGCTGAGGCCATGATGAGAAAGGTGGGAGTGGGGGGGTGAGAGTGGGGATTGCTCGCGTGTTGAAATCCGATGCAGCTGACGTTGAAAAAACAAGCAGCAATCTTGGTTTGGATCAACATGGGTTGAAACTTCAAGTAAATGGTTGTCATAGGCCGAGGCAAAGCATGGAAACAAAGAAACATAAACATAAATTACACCTTAGACATTGGCCCGTTTTTTATTTCTACTCACAGTCTGTCACATTCATTTTCAACATCTTTGAATCGCCATGCGCAGGCGAACGTTGTGGATAGGACCAGTCCTGCCTGACCAGACCCACCCCAATCATCCGTAATCATCCCGGCACCGCCAGGCGCGCCCAAAGCATGTGCGTCCAAGTCCGTTCAGGCTGAGTCCTTGGTGCTTCCAAAAGTGGTCATCACATTTAGAAAGTCGGATAGATGAAACAAGGAATTCAGAACATGTTCCAGCCTTTGAATCAAATGAATGTTCCAACATGTCAAAACAAAGCCCTTGTCAACAACATGTCCAAAACTCAAGCTATTCGGGGACCTCCATGTTTTCCACAAAAGTAGCAAGTGTGAAAAAGAACTGCCATGTTGGTGCACTGAATGCTCAGACGCAACATGTCATGCATGTTCATCACTAGACTAGACAAGTCCCTAGACATTGTAATAGACGTTGGAAAAACCATGAGCACCAACTTTGATTTTCGTGCACGTCTCGTGCGCAAACAAGACTTCAAACATCATGAAATCCGCCCTGGAAACTGGTTGGAAGAGTGTCCAGTCCGATCGAAGGGTTCCTGTAGATGTTCTTTGCCTATATCATGCAGTCTATCTTCTTTTTGGAGCAGTTCGTGTTGACAGCAGAGTGGCCAGTCGCTATCGTTTGTACGCTTGTCAGCTTACTGTCAAGAGTCGTGATAAACTTTTCAATGTTAGTGTCCCTGTCCTTAGGCTCACTGTGGACGGATTCCGACGGTTCGACGGTTCACTGACACATATGCGTTGACGGACGTGCTTGGCTTGTCACCTCAGCTTCCACTCCATCGAGCCAGCTCACCCTCTCCCAAACCTACGTTTTTACAATCCAAATCCAAAAAGCCTCCCAGCTAAGCAGCCAGGCTAGCCATACAGATGAATGTATCCCAAACACGACCCATGGGATTGGCATATTTTACCGATCAGGCCAGGGGCGGTTGAAACATGTTGAAACAAGGTCATTTGATCCGTAAATATGCCAATCCCAAACAGGTCGTGTCTGTCTAAGTCTCCGGGAGACTTCCAGGACCGGTGGGCTGGGTAGACGACCAGTCGATTTTCCGATGGGAGGTCTCCCTAATTGACGTTGGGGCATCTCCTCAGAAGGTGTGTTAGACCCCCCTGGCACCCACCCCAAGCATCTTCTCAGGAAGTGGGACAGGAGCCCTAGGGTTAATACGCACCCATATCTCAACGAATTCCACTCCATCGCGATGCCTGCCCTTCACTTCCGCGCAGGTCTCCCCCATGGGCAGCTGAGCTGCACTGTGGGGATGGAAATGATGGGACAATTGGTGCCGGACACGGGCACCAACTCGAATGTACCGTTCTTACCAAGTGTCACCGGTGAAATACACTGGTCGGGTGGTTGGATTCCACATGGGAGTCTCGCGGGGGTCTATCAACGACCCTCTTTTTTTGGCGGATGGTAGTGCGGATGGTGCGGGCCTATCTCATGTGTATTCTCTTTTGATTTCTTCACATGTGTTCCTTCAACAGTCGATGGATTTACAGGTTTTGGTCCTCAGATCCAAGTCTAAGTGGTGTGAGGCCGTGGCTGCCCCCCACCAGAGATGAGTAGTTTGAGCTTTCTGGCAGGATTGCCAAGCAAGAAATTTGATTGACGTGCATGTGTACCAGCCGCTAACCCTTATCCTTGTCCAATATATGTGTCCCAGTGTCTCAAATTCGGTCGACCAGCTTGACTCTGACCAGATGAATTACCTCACTGGGGTATTCGGAGTAGCTGTCAGACTTACTATATGTACCTTATCAAGATTTGTTTACCTTTAGAACAAAGCTGCATGACGCTTGGGCCTTGGCGCCTGTCTTTAGGAACCAAGCACCCAACATAACATATTGGCCTTTCCTATGTGATAAGATTCAAAAAAGATACGTATACCTCCTTCACTCAACTCGCCTTTGCCACCTCATTTTGCACCCACTCACTCGCCTTGTCATCGCGGTAAAAAGAACCGCGCCGTGAAAACCTCCCAGGCTCGCCGGTGAATGCGCCGGACAAGCCCAAAGCCAAGTCAGCCAAGCCCAAGTCATCGACGCTCGGTGTCCTTCACATGGAGTGTTTGGGCGCTCACAAGTGTGTACTTAACAGGACATTGGTCAGGATCCTTTACTCAAAGTCATTGGGGATGCGTATGGATTTCCATGGCGAAACGAACCCCCACCATCCCAGGTCAACATGTATTCTAAAATTTCCCAATTCTGGCACTTGCAGGATCCCGTGCCACTCACAGTCATAGTATATGCTTGAATGTTTCTTTGATTCAGTGTTTGACTTGCAAGTGCCTGCAAAAGAAGATGAGTGCAGCACTCTGTGGCTGTCGTCAAACCTGAATGGCCCGACAAACCAACATGCGGGTACCTGCGATTGCACGTGTTGCCGTACCTGGAGTCGACCCCGGAACTCGCTCGGAACATGGGTACAAGTACATGTTAATCTTTTTTTGGCGGTCATGTCCCATTTTCTAAAGTACTTGAAGTCAGGTCCAGGTACCCAAGTACCTCCGTTGCCCAATGTGGCACTTGCGTCCTCCCGTTGCCACACCCCCATTCTCAGGCGATCGCGCGGTGATGAATGGCTCCCCCCCCGTTCTCCGGCCGAGGAGCGAAAAGAAGACCCGGCGAAGCTGCTGCTGAAGGCGCGGCGAAGCTGCTGAAGGAGATACAACCCTCAGGGTCCAGGAGCTTCCTGAGAATGGTCGTTGCCTGGGGGCCTTTCAGGACATCCGAGAAACGGATGGTCTTGGACCCTTCGGGCAAGTGATACAAGGGCAATGTTTGAATATATTTGATAGCCGACCCAGACATGCATTGTAAAGCATATTGTAATCTTTCATATGACTGTTCTTTGGATACATAATCTCTAGCTTTTGCCTTAAGGGTTGCCACCCACGAACTAGCAAGAGACACCAAACGCTGTATAGGTAATCAGGAGGTGCTGACCAAGACCTCAAAACGCTGTGTTTAAGGAGAGGAAGCTTTTCCACTTGATTTAAATTAACGTCCTTTGGATGGCCAGACAGGTGGAGGTGTTCAGCCGGTCGCAGAAACGACGGTTCGATCCTCGGCGGCTTCCCCGCGCCGTGGGGGAAGCAGCAGAAACCATGGAGACCTGGGGAGACCGGGGCTCCACCAAAGTGGTTGGCTCGATGGAGATGAAGGTATGGCGGTGGTTCCAACCAGAACGCTCGTCTGTGAAGACGCTGTCTTTAAACCTGGCTACTAGGCTCCACCTATCATGATGAAAGCCAAAGCCTCATGGCTTGAGCCATTTCTGCACAGTGGGATCGGACTCAAGACTTCCCCACCCCAGCACCCAACGTGGACCCCGCCCATCAGGCTTACTCCTGAGAGAGGACTGGAACCTCCGTCCAACCAAGACCTGTTTGACCGTCCCGACATGAAGTGACTCAAGAGATAAATAGGGAAAGGACACACCAGCTATTTGCAGATGTGATTTAAACGGTCAAAGGGCGGGCTCAGGAGCGTGAAGTGTCGAATGCCAATGTCGAGTATTGTAGGCGCACGGAAAAAGGTCTTGCAGCTGGACTTGATGTTTTCGAGGCCAGACATGCTTGTGGGTGAACAGTGCTGGCATAGGATGTTGAAGTTATGTGGCACTTGTTGCGCTAATGAAGTTCTTGTTCAGGGTTTGCAAGCGTCGTTTGGATCGTTCAAGTTTAGTCCCCAGATGCTCATGGACTATGGAGCGGAGCCTAACAGAGGGTTTGGAGTCCAGCTGGATTGGGTGATGGTCATGTCCATCCGCCCAAAGCATCAGCAGTTCGCCGGCCATCCGCGGAGCGCGCATCGGATTGGCACCCAAGGATCGATGGGGACCGCAGACGGAGGGTAGGGGTTGCCCTATAGGGATATAGGCGACTCCAAGCACATCCGAAATGCATGGTGGGTTTGGGTCGTTTGCTACCTTCTCGCGGCAACATCGAGCCCTACAGGAAAAATCGAGGAATGCGTGGAGTGTAAAGCCCCAAGCAAGACAAGACACGTAGCAGTCCATGCCGGTCTAGTTCACCCCCTGTTTGGAGAGGAGAATTGTGCTTTTGTTTTTGCAGGGGGCCATTGTCAACTTCCATGAACGATGGAGAAAAGGCATCCATCACCACTCTGAAACAGAATGTGTAGCTTTTCCCATCGGTGGTTGTTGGAGAATGTTGGAGAGAGGGTTCAAGAAACTCTTAGGTTTCTTATATGGCTGAAGCAGGTTGACCTCCCTACCAATCTATTCTGTTCATTGCCAGTGGTCAACCGGTCGGTTTCCAGGTTTCAACCCATAGACTAGCCATGTCTAGCTGACCGGTTTGCTTCGAGCATCCTTTGCGGGTCTGGAGGGTTCGGGGAGCTCGGTCCTTTTCAGGTCCCAACCGTGGCCCAACGAGTTCCTTTTTCGAAGGTGGTTGGAGCTAGGTGCCAGGGGAGTCGACACCACCTTCTGACAATATGTTTGGAACCCTAAGGAGAGTAATTACTAATACCTGAGACCTGGTTGACCTTCTGGAGCTTTTAGATGAGCTGTTTTGTAGGGGGTGTCTTCAGCCGGTCTTCGTATTAATGATGGCGTTCTGTGTGTGTGACATCCTTGGCATCAGTTGTTTCGACATGCTTCAGTCGTCTCCGGCCTTTGGCTCAGAGGGCAGCAGACGGAGATGGCCGAAACCACATGTAAGCCCGAGAGGTTGAGGTGACAGCTATAGGCACCGGAAACTGTGAATCATCACTACAAACAACTCAGGACCTTAGGAAGCTGCCAACTCTGCGACATATTTCGGGTTCACAGAGGAATGGAAGACTGTCGAAGAACACTCCAAGATTGGCTGAAAGATGTTGAAGCTGGTTTGAACCAAATGATCAGGTCTCAGATCTCAGATCTGAACCTGTGATCTGCAGACATTTGCTGCAATTTGTGTTGAAGAAACCCGTGTTATCAACCTCAGAGGGCCAAGAGGGGATCCTCAGATAGGTTCCTTGGGGCTTCCTGGCACTCCATGAATTTAATAGGCTGAATCCCGAAGCACCATTGTTTTACTGAAGATTTTACACAATATTACAGAGCCAGGTCAACCATTGTTAATGGTCTACTGTAGGGGATAGTTATAGTGTAGATCAATTTAGAATGGTCACCTAACATGGCATGGTGCTCAGCCCTAAGCCCTCATGCAGAGGCCCATCATCGCGCCGCCACGCCCAAAACTGCATGGTTTCGGGCAGTTTCAGGGCGCCCGCAGTTTCGAGACGAGTGAACCGAAGTGAGCTTTGCATGGGTTGCATGGATGGATTTTGATTTGGGCACATCTACTTTTCTTCTAAGAATGCAGAACTTAGTGCCCTCGATTTCGCGCAGTGTCGGCCTTTTGCGGGACATAGATACGGCCTCTCCGAATTGATTATAGAATATTATAATATATATATAGCTCAACAACGGCAATTGATGCGTACCTGCTAAACCTCATAACCACCTTGGAATTGGTATCTATCCAGGGTATACCAGGTGTTGTTTGAAAACCTCACAGATATGGATTGTTCTTCCTCTTCATCTATGGGGGACGTCAACATCCATCACGAGTTCATGAGCCGGTGGGCAGCGTCAACGGCCGTGGTCGAGGCCAACGCCTCGTGCGTTCGTTCGTGACTCGGATAAATCGGAGTCCATGAATTCCTCCGGCCATGGGCTGCTCTATGTCCCTAGATTGGGGTGGTTTTTCAACGGGGTCCATGTAGAGGCTAGCTTCCAAGACACTCCATGCATGGCATATTTATACCTACATTGGGGTGGTTTTTCAACGGGGTCGTAGATATATCAATATGCCATACATGGATGTGTCTCGGGATTTGGATTGGTTTTGGACTTCCACCCTCTCCGAAATCGGATGGACTCCTATGACCGCCTAGGACTGCGGGGTCGCCGAGCTAGTGAGTGCACGTCAACCCGGGGGTGCTTGGGGCATCCGAGGAGGTGGACGATGATCCGAAAGGGACATCAGAGGCACCTGAATGGACCCATCAGAGGCACCTGAGAGAAGGATCCTTTTGCTGGAAGAGCTTCATCTACCGATTAGTTGGAGTTGTTGAAACGGGGTCAATGTGAGCATATATGCCAGTCCCATGAATGGTCTGGCATGTGGAAAGTGTATTCACTGTAGATGGTGGATGATGGATGGACGACAGGGTTGCCCCTCACTTTTGCCGGCTCCGCTGCGCCAGCCATCAGAAGCATAAATCATAAATCATATGAAGTTGTTGGAAGTTAATGTTTCTCCTGAATCCATATGAATCCATGAGTGTGCTTCAATCAAGCAAGTGAACACAGGTGAAATATGGCACTGTAAAAACAGACTGAAAGAGCTTTAATGCTACGCCAATCACACACACACACAAAACTTTTGCAATTCTGCCGACAGTCCACCCATGAACTGGAGCAAGAGCATCTTTTGTTGGAGAAAACTTGTGTTTTCTTCTAGATGTTCGTTCTTCACCTTCAGAACTGACCAAGACACACCTTTCGAAGCGAAATATATAATGAAAGACCGCTGATCCGCGTTGAATCACCTGTTTTCCGCCCACCCGTCTGACGGTCCGCAGACGGTCCGCGGACGCGCCACGTCGGTCCGGCCGGCCATGTCCGTGGACCCACGTCCGCTGCTGGGGCAGATCCCCGGCGAGGCAGACTCCACGTATCGGGTGTTTGGGGGTCTGAGGGATGGTGGAGTTCTGCACCGTGTTCTGCAGGAAGGGATCAGAAGGGGTTTTGGAATGTTTTGGAGAGGATGGCACAAAGATCCAGGATCCAGGAGGTTCTTGTTCACGACGTTCCTTTCGTAAGCGGCTTGATGGGATCGTTTCGCCGCACCGAAGGTCTAGAGTTGAACTGCCGAAAGCTGAACTCGCAACACAGAGCTGACTCGAAGTCGAGGAAGATCCTTTGTTGAGCCGGATTTCTGGGGTGACATGTTTGCTTGAGATGGTGATCAGACTGCGAACGTAGCTCCGAACATGCCACGAGTTGGGCGGCTTCGAACAGTACTGCCCCTCCAGGATCGTGTGAGTAAAGCACAGTAAAGGCGTGGTTTTGGGGGAAGTAGGGAATGCGAATTCTAGCAAATTCATTTGCTTCCTTTACGTGCTTCAGCTGGCTTGTGCAGCAGTGGGCAACGACTTGGTGAAACAACCTGTACTTATGTTGCCACACTTTGGCTTGGGTGTGTCCCACTAAACGGTAACAGTTGATTTAAACATATGTAAGCATATAATATCACTCTTTTTGAGAAAGGCCTAAAACCTAACCACCATCATCCGAATATTCCTAAATTTGGCAGACAATCACTGTCAATGGATCAGATCATCAGCTGATCACTTGTCAGGCCTGCGCCAAATCTTGGGATTCTCACATTGGAATGATTCCCAGTCAACAACTGCCACCAACCATCACGTAGTGCTTGTTGTGGTGCACGGGTTTTGCTTCGCGTTTGTTGTTAAATGTGAGTCGCTATTTCCCCCCTGTAGCAGACAATCTCCTAGGCACCTTTCTGCACGTTTCAGACCACAAGCATCGTCCCACCCGCCCGCCCGCCCGCTCCCCGCCCGCCCGCCCGCACGCCCACCTGCACACGCCTTGTTACTACCGTGTGACTTCGCGGGTTAATTCATCGACCGGGCAGGCGCCTCTGGACTGTTTGGTGGTGGGCGCCGGGCCCGTGGGGCTTCTTTTGGCCAGCGAGCTGTGGGGGAACCCGGCGCGTTCGGGAGGGCGACGGAGCGGCGGAGGGGACGCAACGGAGCGAACGGGATGCTTGCAGGGTGAGGTGATGGTGCCAGGTGTTTCCGAAAGCGGCAAATCCAGGTGGAGGTGACTGGGACTGAGACTCCGGTGAGGGGTTTGTGCTGTGACTCGGTTCCGGACGGAGTTCGATGGGATAGAACTTTTCTTTTTCAGCTCTTATGTCGTGCACTGATTTGTTTCAGGAAATAGATCCTGATTTGTTCTTTTCGCTTTCCTGACTTTCCTGTATCCAGAATTATCCAGAGAGGAAGAACAGAAACATAACTCATACCATAACCTCGATGGTACCTTGGATTCTGCCCTTCCTTGAATTAAATCAGGATTTGCTCAAAGTAACATCAACACCGGCGTTGAGAGTTCCAAGTCTTCCTGCGCGGTCGTTCAGGCTTCAAGTCCAAATTCCTCGGTCCATGCGTTTGTCTCACGAAACGCTCGTACTGGTCAACCGCGTCAGTTTCTGTGGACCAATTGGGGGGAGCCCCTGGACACCTGAACATCCTGGACTCGGTGCGCCCCCCCTGGATCCTGCAGGGCCTACCGAGGATGCAAGGCGGCCCCGGGGAGTCGGATGTGGATGGTTAGCGGAAAGGACCGAATGGAGCACAAGAAGACTTGGAGGAGTTGATTTCTCTGGTGGGAAATGAAACTGTGTTGCAGGCCATTCCGGAAATAGATTTGGTTTTTAATACGGTGCGGTGCATGAGAAGTTGCCCTCGGAATCCCCGCTCGCCCAAATCTCCAGCAGTGCGCAGTGCCCAAGACCCAGTAGAAGATCAATCCCGTGTATCGCAAGCAGCACAGCCTGACTCGGCATCGGTGGACATCACCTGAACGGATCGCTTTCAAGCAGCCATCCTTCATGTCTACCATCTCAGATCCTATAGTGGATGGGTCTGCACAACTCATCTGACGTCCTGAAAAGCAGGGCCCTAAGAGAGGTGAAGAAAGTGACCTGACCAAGGACCCAGGTTTGATACTGCCTGTACCCAACCTGGGATGATAGTTATGGATCGTCGAACACTTCACACTTCTGTCCTTGGCGCCTCTTTTCGGCCGCTAGTCCAATACTGCACTGGCAGACCCAACCTACCCGTCCGCACCGGACCCTGCCTGTCTCCAGACCAGACCGCCGCCTTAGCTCGCTCGGCGGAGGTGGCCATCATCGATGCGTTGCAGCAGCCGGTGAAGCAGACGAAGGCCAGTGGCGTGGTGCCCCGCAGCTTAGAGGCGCGTGACCGGACCAGGAACACAGGACCGGTCGGAGAAGGGGCCGGGCCTGAATCCTTGTAGATCAAGGGTGTGTTGTAAAAGACACGGTGGTTGTTGGGGAATTGTGGTGTTATGTGGTGTTATGTGGTGTGTGTGTTTTTTGGTTCTGTTGGGGCAAACTCGGTGATGGGCAGTGTTTTGAGTGTGGAATGTGTGGGATATGTGGGATGTTGATGTGGTGATGTGGTGTTCTTTGGGTGTGTGTGGATGAGTCCTTGGAGGTGTGGGTACATCGTGGGTCTATGAGTATTCTTAGCTTTGCTAACACAGGTGGTTGGCGAAACAGGAGTCAAACCTGTGAAGCCGATGCATGCAAGCAAAGCGCAAGGTGCGTGTGTGGTGAGGACAGCGCAAGGTGCGTGTGTGATTGTGTGTGTGGTTTTGGAGGCTGCTGATACGTTCCCGATACTTCCAGTGTCTCCATTCACCAGACACTTCCATTGTGCGTTTAGGACTTCAGCTGTCTTGGTGCCTGAAGAGGACCCAGAAACGTATACCCCAATGTGTTGATATGATAACATAGTATGCCAGTCCCAGACAGGTCGTGTTTGGGATTAACATGGAGTGTCTTTTCACTGTGCAAAGATTTGTGCAACTCTTCCAAGTTGCAGTCTCAAACAGGTCGTCGTGCTGGGGTATCAACCCTATAGGGCTCCCAAAAACCTCCTCAGGTTCGGTGGGGGGATCATTCGGTGCGTGCCGTTTTTTTTTTTTTTTTTCCGTAGCCATTTTGGCTCAAGTGCTTGCGCTGAGCCAAGTTGACTACCTCGATGTCTCGAAGTTTCCTCTTGGAAGCTTTGAGTGATGATGCATTTCAGTGTGCCATCGCCTGGTTGGCAGCTGCGGTGGTCTGTATGTTGTTTCGCAGTGCTACACTGTTTGTTGGTTGGCTGCACCGCTGGACCCACATGCGGCTCGACCTCCCAGTCGGTCGGGAACTCCAGCTGTTTACGGATGGGAAGAGCGGATCCAGTTCCTCTGACTGGCAGTACTCTGGGAAGTGGGGCTGAGCCGGAGATGATGGACTCGAGGGATGACTTCTCTGATCTTCCTGAAGATGTTCGCTTTACTCTTCAAGTATTTCGGAGGTTAATGAGCAGGTATGTTAGTCCGGACATAACCTCACAATGTCGTTGCTTCCTGGCTAGATTTCGTTTTCTAGATGATGTCCCTCTCCTGATAGCGGTCAGACAACTTGTTGCGAGACAGGTGCCGCAGTTGGTGTGGTTTCGAAGTTTGGTCCAGGCTGAAGTCAAGAAGATTGTTTTGGTTGAAAGTAGTAATCTGGCGATTGATTACTATTATAAAGTCGTTGACAGAGCTCTGATGAGGAATATTTTTCAGCCAGGTACATACCACTTCCGAGTCGATGGAGCGCTTGTTCATCATCATCACGTGGTGGAGTGGATCCCGGCCACGGTCATTCAGATTGACCAGACCAACCCCTGCTCGGATGACCAATATGATGTTACGTTCCCTGCTGCGGTCCAAGACGAGGTTTCTTTCATGCAAGCCACCTCGCGTATCGTGGTAGGAGCTCCACACGACCCATTGTCACCATATGTCTTATCGGCTTATAGGATTCGTAGTCTGCCAGTCTTTTCGTGGCTTCACACATGGGACAAGAAAGATCGGTGGTCCATGGTGTTTCAATCCACAATGGTCGATGTCGCCAGGCCGATCCGGGAGCAGGTGTTGGTTGCCTGGGCATCGCATCAAGTCCGACCGGATGTCACCATGTACCCCATGCAGCCTCGATCACAAGCAATGCATGGGTATCACCCGGTTTTGTTACTGCTACCAGTTGATCGTGAAGATTACGTTGGCATGTTTGTCACGGTTTGGACCCCATTTGCAAGCTTTCAGGGCACTTTCTTGATCCGCACTGCCCGTTTCCTTCCGGTGCAAAGGCTGTTCGATGTTCTCGTTCAGGGAAACCAATGTGTGTGGGCAAATGAGTGTGAAGTTCGCATAGGAGCAGAAGCCTATGCTTGGGGAGCTCTGGTCCCAGTGTATTCCGGCATCAACACTGAGTTGCATGAAGTTGCGCCTGTGCAAACGGGGTCGCAAAGTACCTGCTCTGATCCAGGAGCCAGCAGTTCGAGTGAAGACCATGACTGGCCAGCCGAAGGTTCCCAGCCGAGCAATCACACTCCATACAATGAGGAGGGCCCTCGGAGTGAAACCCCAACTTTTGGCTTCTCATTGGTACAGAGCAGAGTAGACTTGAAGAGGTGGAAGACTAGGCAGCATCATATGCACACGGGCGGGCATGACTCATACAGTGAACGACCTTTGGTCATTGGTCGTGAGCTTGAGTGTGTGGTTGGAGAGCCCCGCCCGACTTTTGCGCATGAAGCCAAAAAATACTTGCCTCCACCAGGCAACGGCAAGTCGAAAGCCATAAGAGTAGATTTTAGTGCTACTATAGAAGTCAATGGTGAGCAATGTCACGACCCATGCTTGGGCAACTCATATATGAGTCATTTTAAAGACACGTTCAAAAGCCTTGCTGGGGCAGAAGGCCGGTCCAATCCATTTGCGCAAGCTGTCCTGCAATCGGCTGTTGCTAAGCAGGTTACGCAGCACCACAAGCAGTCCCTTGAGCCGTGTTGGATTCATACGCCGGTTGGTGTCTTTTGGTGCCAAGATCCTGTACAATTTCAGTGGAAGCTGGAATCACCTTTTGTGCTTATCCCCATGCAGTTGTTTGGGCTTGAGCATGGATTCGTTGTAGGGGACGCCAATAGAGAAGTGCTGCCTGTTGCATTCAAATGCCTGTCAGATGATAAGGTCTGTTTTGTCTACCTGGCATATGGCACCACAGCGAGTGAGATTGCTAGAGCAGGGCTGGGGCCTCAAGACAGTGAGGTGCTCGCTGCTGATGACTTTCAAGTTCGGTTTTGGGGGCAGACTGTGGAGTTCGTATGGGCTGGAGGTGCTAGCGGATCAGTCAATGACCCCGACATGTCAGTGCCTGAGCAGGGTAATGGGACCGTCCCAGTCATTCTAGCGCTTCAACATCTGCTATGGCCGAGTGAATGCAGAGAAATTGCAATGGACTTGCCGCAGCATTGGAATAGTAAAGTCCATGCATTGTGGCCAAAGCCATTAGTAGGACTGCCCGATGGGATCAAGGTACACCAAGCCACAGTGCTTGCCCTCTCTCAGGTGCAAGAGCATCGAGCACATATGCAAGACTGCCAATGTGTGGTGTATGTTGACGGATCGGCAGGTGTCAAGGGCCAAGCATGGGGTATGGTTGTGACCATACGAGGTAGATATGGCGGGAACTGGTGTGAAACATTTGAAGGTGTATGTGCCGCACCGCGAGTCTATGATCCACAGGATTCGTGTTGGATCGGAGCTAAACACAAAGACAATGTGGATGCAGAACTGGCTGCAGCTTTCGTCGCCATAGCATATGCCCTGTCACTAAACATAGATGTACAGGTGGTGGCGCGTCCGGATCTCCAGTTTTCGTGTCAGTTGCTTGATGGGCTAGTTGCCCCAAGTAAAGATCGACCTCTCACCTCACTTGTTGCCAATTTAGGGAAACTAGCCAGACAGAAGGGACTCGCTGTCGCGCTTCGGGTCGAGGCGCACGCGGGACAGGCGTGGAATGAACTGGCAGATTCGGTAGCTGCTTATGCAGCCAAGCATGCGAGACTAGGCAGTCCTGACATAGCATGGTTGAATGAGATGGCTACGCACCAGCAGTACCTGGACTGGTGGCCAATCCTACATGCCAACCATAGGAGGCATGCTTACCCGGATGAGGTTGAAGGCAAATGGCAGATTGGGGTAGCCTCCAAAGCCACCTGTGCCCCGTTGGAACAACCCCACGTGGCGCCTGTTCGAGTCCAACAGGTTAGCATCACCTGCATGACCTACAATGTCCTATCCTTGGTGGATGATTCCACTTTTGATCAGTGGGGTCGTCGTGGGGGAGCCAAGTCAGCCCGTATGGACCATCAGATGCATACCAAAGGCATTCATGTTGCTGGTTTTCAAGAAGCTCGCACCGATGAAGGAGTGTCGTTTACCGAGCACTATAAAATCTTTAGTGCAGGGTCAGCAGTCCCAGCAGCAGCTCGACAATACGGGTGTGAAATCTGGTTTCATCGTACCAAACCATGGACACGAGATGCTGACATTAGTTTTCAGCATAGCAATGTGGTTGTGCTGCATCAAGATCCTCGCCTGCTTGTTGTTCGATTGGAAAACCCTTTGGGGTGTTGGGTTTTCTTGTCAGGGCATGCGCCATATTGGGGTAATGCTGAAACGCATGAACGAGTGGTTGATTGGTGGAAATCCCTCGCATTGGTCTGCAGCCAGGTGCCACCGCATGCCAAAGTCGTTGCGTTTCTTGATTGCAATGCCACATTAGGAGCAAACACTTCCGAACTGGTTAGTGACTGGGGTGCTCAAAAACCAGGACCTGCCACAACGCATTGTGAGATGTTGCTGCATTCGGCCCAATTGGCTTGTCCGGCAACTTTTGCCAACATCCATCAAGGGCCACATGGCACATGGCGACACCCATCAGGTGCATGGAGACGCATTGATCATATTTGTGTCCACAAAGACTTGCTCCCAATGGCCCACAACTCGTATGTGTGGCTAAACTTTGATGGAGGGTTCACGCATGATGACCACGTCCCAGTGGTTCTCGAGCTCAAAGGACTCATTGCTGCGGGTGAACATATACCAGTGCGCATTGATCGTAGAGCGTGTGCCGACCCTTGCAAAGTTGAGCAGTTTCAGAACGCGCTAAGCACGTTGGCCATCCCTAGTTGGTTGGTTGATGTTGACGAGCACGCAGCATGGCATCGCCATCAAGTCAAGAATTTGGCGGAAGCCATCTTTGCTCCAGTGAAAGCTGTCAACAAGCCAATTTGGATGTCTGTAGATACTCGGATCTGCATTGCCTGGAAGCGATACCTGTTAGATGAATTTCGGAGGTCGCAAGACGCCACATGGCGAGCCTCCCTTCGTGAAGCGTTGAAGGGGGCCGAGAAACAAGTTAGGGGAGCTTGCCGATGTGATAGGAGGGCTTTCTTCGACAAAGCAATTGATGACCTGAACCAGGCGGGTCTCGCTCATGATTTCAAGGAAGTGTCGCGCTTGTTGGCCATGTTGGGCAAGAAGAAACAAAAGTCAGGGGTCTCTAGGACCTAGGATCCTACCCAAGATTCTTCAGGAAGATGGTAGGCCAGCTACATCCTTCGAAGAGCAACAAAATATTTGGTTTGACCAATTTGCACAAATTGAAGCAGCTGCCCGTGTCAGTGACCAGCAACTGCAGGACTCGCATCAAGAAGTTGAAGGATCGAGGGTGTCCCTGTCCATGTCCCAACTGCCAACGCTAGCAGATGTGCAGCGCAAGCTGCGCAAGTTGAGAAATGGCAAAGCAACAGGCAGTGATAGTCTTCCAAATGAAGTGCTTAAGGCAGGGGGTGAGCCCATGGCAAGGATGGTGCATGAATTGATGGTCAAGGTCAAATGTGCGGGACGTGAACCCCTGCAGTGGAAATCTGGCCTGGCGGTACCTCTTTATAAGAAAGGTGCCATGACTGACCCTGCCAACTACAGATCGATCTTTTTGTCCGACTCCATAGCAAAAATTTCGCACAGTCTCCTCCGTGACCGTCTGTGTGAGATATATGAAAAATTGGCGGGAACCTCCTGCTTTGGAGGCCGACCAGGAAGAAGCACGGACCATGGCCATCATATGGTTCAAGCCATGCTGGCGTATGCGACGCAGAAGCAGATGCCAAGTGCTCATGTCTTTTTGGACCTTAGTTCAGCGTTTTATCATGTGTTGAGGCAAGGGCTTTTCGGTGATGCTATCACTGACGTCTCCTTATGCAATTTCCTCGCTGCTGCTGGGATTCAGCCTGATGAATTGCGAGAATGGGAGCGCCAAGCTGCTGAAGATTTCGCCCTCTCCTCACAGACACCAGATGTGATAGAATTCACTAAAGATGCATTCCGACACTCTCATTTCAGGGTAAAGGGGGTGTCAGAAGCCGGTCATACACAGCGGGGTACTCGACCGGGAGACCCAATAGGGGATGTTTGCTTCAATATTGTGATGCAGGTGATCATGGCCAAGGTTAGGCATCAGATGGTCCAGATAGGTTACTGTGACCTGCTACAAGTTGAGAATGAGCACGAGGAGATACCGGGCAGTCGCCCGGCCTTTGTTGATGTTTCATTCTTTGACGATGTGGCATTCAGTGTGGTCCATTCAAGTTGCCAGACGGTTGTTCGGGTCGCCACGGATATCCTCTCGCTGTTATGTGCAGAATCTCGTAAGAGGGGAATGGCAGTGAACCTAAGGCCTGAGAAGACTGAGATCCTCCTTGCGCTTAAAGGGCCTGGTTCCAGAAAGCTCAAAGAGAAATTGCTCATCAGTGGTGCTGGGAAGCTTCCAGTAGTCCAGGAGCATAGCACTGACTTTGTCGGTCTCGTCTCTGCCTACAGGCACCTAGGGTCATATGCACAAAGTGATGCCACTCCCCATCGGGAGTTGCAACACCGTATCGCGTCAGCTAGGAAAGCATGGGGCCCCTTGCTAAAGAATTTGTGGAGCAACAAGAGCATTGCCCGCTGCAATAAAGTGTTGCTTTTTCAAAGCCTAGTCATGTCTAGGCTGCTTTACAATGTGCATGTATGGTCATGGTACCAGGAGAGTGATATTCAGAAGCTGCAAGCTGCATTCCGAGACATGGCCAAGTCAATTGCAAGGCCCTCACTCATGGGTCTGGGGTATTACCAGGTCACTGTCGAGGATTTGGCAGGCCTTGTTGGGGTCTTGGACCCAGCCAGGCAGCTTCGAGTTGCAAGGCTTCGCTATGCTGCTCGGGCTATCCGCTATCTCCCGTCTTTCATGTGGAGGATCCTTCGAGAAACAGAAGGGGAGTTGGCTTGGAAAATGCATTTCATAGCAGATTGTGAATGGCTGCGCAGCCATCATCCCTCGGGCACATGGCCGATAGCAAATGCGGATTTCGTCCAGTGGTTGGAGTTTATACCCCACTGTGATGACTGGCGGACCCGCATCAAACGGGCGGCAGCGGCATCGTTACGGGCCTCTCAACGAAACGCTGAGCACAAACTCCGGGAGCTGAAAATGACCGAAGATTGGCAGGATTTTGGGCTCACATTCGGGGATAAACCCAAAGAAAACCCCGTGGTATGCTTCCGGTGTGAGATGTGTGGTAGTGAGTTTGCGTCCGAAAGAGGCTTGTTTATGCACTCCTCACATGTGCATGACTACAAACCGCATGTCCGCTTCTTAGCGGCAGGCAGTTGCTGTCTAGCATGCGGGAAGGAGTACCATGCCAGGCAGAGGCTTCTCAGCCACCTGCAGTACTCCGGGCACTGTAGGGACAAACTGGCTGCAACTTTTCCGCCATTGTCCTTGCAAGAGGTAGCCAAGCTGGATGAGCATGATCGTGAGTTTGCAGTGCAACAAAAGACCTTGGGGTGGCACCCACGCAAGGCGTTGTTGCCAGCCATTCGCATACCTCATGCAGCCTTGCCGCCCCTCGGTAGTCAAGAGGCGGCAGCCATCCGTCATGCATGTGAGAGTGATAGTGCTACGGCCCCGCTATGGCATAATGTCCATGGAACTCGCATAGGAGCTGACTCCCATTCGTTTGCAGGACACCCAGCACAGCCCAATGATAATGGGTATGTGTATCAGCAAGCCCGTGGTGTCTTAACGGGAGAAGCAGGCGTGTTCCAGGAGCATTCGTTGTCGGTGCTTGATGCTCGGCTCAGAGTAACTACAGTTGTGTTTGTGCACCTCTAGTCCGGTTTCAGGAGAGATGGAGACCTGCACCACCATATCGAAAACCACAAGTGGGAAGCAGGATTTGAGCTCTTTTGCATCAGTGTTGACCTATGCTTGCAGGGAGCCAAAGGCGACCTTTTGTCACCCACCAAGGTGGCTTGGTGGAAGGACCGCATCCGGTCTGGACAAGTGCTCGGCATCGGTGGAGGGCCGCCGTGCGAGACGTGGTCGGTAGCAAGATGGTTGGGCGGAGGCCCGCCTCCACTAAGGGATCGAAAAGCGCCATGGGGGCTGGCGTGGCTGTCCAGAAAACAACACCAGCAGGTAGTGGTCGGTATAGTGGGCTTCTTCGAACCGCGGTTGAATTGGCAGTCCTGGTGACGTTTTATGGAGGATGCTTCTTCATTGAACACCCGCAAGTGCCAATTTGGCTAGAAGGCACTCCTTGTCCCGCCATATGGAGAACGCAGATGCTGAGGAATTGCGCAACTCCAGTGTGTCAGTGCCACTAGCTTCGACCAGTGCGTGTTCGGCGCATGTGGCATCAAACCCACCACCTTTCTGGTGGGCCGCATGCCCGCTTTTCGTGAAATCGTCATGTCCAGTGGGCATGGTGGACGCTGCCCTCACGGACCAGGTGCCCATGTTGGCCTTGCAGGCCGTGTCAATGGGCGCTTCCGTACAGCTGGAGCGAAAGTCTACCCGGCGGGACTAAACTACATCATTGCCGAGGCCTTCGCAGCTTTTGTCGCAAGCTTGCAGATGAAGGCTCATGGTGGTGAGTTGAGTGAGGCACTGAGTGAGCTACGTCGGGTTGGTGAGGCCAAAGGCCGAGAAGAAATCCAACCTGACTATCACCACTAGCCCTAGCGACATGCATGACAGGCTTGAACCACAAGTCCAATGGGACTTAGTATGTGCGAAAGGAAAAAAAAGGAGTGTCTTTTCACTGTGCAAAGATTTGTGCAACTCTTCCAAGTTGCAGTCTCAAACAGGTCGTCGTGCTGGGGTATCAACCCTATAGGGCTCCCAAAAACCTCCTCAGGTTCGGTGGGGGGATCATTCGGTGCGTGCCGGGGTCTAACTTACCACACCTGAGGACATGGGCAGCCCAAAGCTATACCCAGACACTCCATGTATGCCATATATGCCTACATTGGGGTGGGTTTTGGGGGTCAATGTAGGCATATATATGGCATACATGGAGTGTCTGGGTATAGGGCAGCATCCTCCCAACTCATGGGTTCTGGACCCTTCAGCGGGTTCGGTCCAACGACACGGGTTCGGTTCGAGGTCTTGCCGGCCGAAGTGGAGCGGAAACTGCTGCCGGGAGACCAGAGAAGTGTTCTGGGGGAAGACATGGAGAAACAGAGAAGGTGCCAATAGAAATATACTCTATAATTAGTGAATAATTAGAGGAGAAGTGAAGAGGTGACGATCTGGAAGTGATCCGATTTTGTTGAGTTCTGGGGGATTCCCAAGTGCATCCTCAAGTGACTGCACCAATCTCTAGGCACCTGAGCTCTACCTTTCAGAGTTTTGACGCATCCTGGTGTGCCATGTCATCTGCTTCATGTAGACCTTGGATAAGTTGAACGGCGATGATTTCAGGGGGGATAAGTTGCATGTTGTGTGGTTTCTTCCGGAGGAGGTTGGATTCATACACAATGCTGGATTGCATGTTTGCAATTATGATGCATGATGGTGTTCATTAATGTTCATTTCATGACCATGTGCAGAATGCGACTGCATGTTTTTGGCCAACTGCTGATGGCCAATCATCCTGATCGTTACGTGAGTCATGCAAAGATTTTGTGTTTCAATTAAGAGCTCACCATCCTTGATATCCTTGCTTTAAGTGAGTATGAACCACGAAAACCAACCCCCAAAGAAACACATCAGAAACTCCTCGGCAGCCTGTTTCACCATCCGAACGACCAAACGGAGGAAGTACACCCGCAGAACGGAGCGGCTCCGAGGCATAATGGTACCATGCTGAAGGCCATGCAGATCTTGGAGAAGAAGGACATTAGATCTTGGACATGTGACCCAGGCGAAGTGGCCCTGATCAGCCATCATCCTCAGGAAAGCAGTCAATAATGGCCCAGACCATCCATGTATGGCATACATGGAGTGTCTGGGACATATGTGTGTGTGCAATGTTCAGAACAAGTTATGTAAAGCTATCCATGTGAGCTGTCATGGCGTCACCAATGCGGACAAACATGTGGAGAGCGACAGTCGATAGGTAACATTAGGTAGCCATGGGCAACCCAGGTAAACCTTCAAGAGCAAATAACCCCACCCTACAAGTCCCGTCAGACCTAGTAAAACCTGGTCTTTGACCTCCAAAAGAGCAGTGTTTTTGTATGACCAACTCCAGGTCTTTCAAGTTCGGTCAGTTCCTGACGTGTTGTCACGCCAAGAAGTATGGAGCTGAGCGAGAAACGGCAACGGCGAGACCGGCTCCGGGGCGCGATACCTTATAAGGGATGCAACCTTCGATATCTGGAGCGGTACACCTTCCATGCGAGTCTCAGAGTTTAGTGGTCTTGGCTTCCTTAGTTGGCAGCTCTTCGGCTTAGTTGGCAGCCTGGCTTCATGGAAAATATGTTCGTTTGAGGTGGAGACCCAATATGTCTCAACATACCAAGCAAGACTTGGTGTTGCTTGGGGTTATATTTTTTGACATGTTCCTGCATGGGTGATTCCCCGAAGCTGAGGAATATGTTCCTTTTCCCAGCTGGACAGCAAATCAGCAAATCCAAGCATACCAGTCAAGATCGGGGCTGTTTTTTTTTGCCAAGCTGAGTGTATTTGTCTTGTTTTGTTATTTTTTCTCGGATCCCACAGAGTGCATGACGACCTCCGTTGGAGCTGATGCTCGAAAAGACCTTGTGGCGGTTTTGGGTGCGTGTTGTTCAAACGAACCTGCGCCCAACCTACGCCCCGTCGCTGGGCCGATGATCTGTGGCGGCCGCTCGTTGCTTTCCAGGAGGGAGAACCCATGAAGACTGTTTTGGATATCAAGACCTCGAGTTTGGAGGCCTGGAGGGCTCGAAGCGGCGACCGGCGACTGGCACCAGCTCGATCTCAAAGGAGCATGAGCAGCCAGGCGATTTCCCAACTCGTGCACCATCCATGCAGTGAGAAAGCAATTCAAGTAAGCTATGGAAGAAACAATGGAAAAAAACAAACACACAAGAAACAAAAAAAAACCTACAAAAAGATGGTGGACACCTGATCAATGAGGGTTTTTCATTACATCCTTTTAAATCACAACATGTTACAACAAAAATTTGGCAATGACAACCCCAGGTGACTAATGTTGGGAAGGTTTTGAGCCCATCATCCAGTATCATCCAGTTATATTTGTGTTTTTTCAACATCATATCACTCATATCACAATTTGCATTTACCATGTGTGAGGAAAAAACATTGTCCATTGCATACTCTTTTCTGTGGGGATTTTGGAGACCCATGGTTGGAGTGCACATCCCTAACATGAAGTGATAACATGCATGCCAATGTTCATCTTATCTTCAATCCAAGAGCTCTTCAACATAACGAATTGGAGTGCTTTGGAGCAGCTTCCCCGTCCACTGGTGACGGGAAGATGCTCTTCATATTATATGAGTTCTTTCTATGTTGGAACAGACAATACATCCCAGGCCAAGGGTTCCAACATTTGGGTTGAACCCGAGCTCGTTGGTGCCGAGTAGGGAACAAGGTTGGTGCCCTTGCACTATCGCTTCGGATCCGTATCTGGAACACCTATAAATCCCCCAAAGTGGTTTTGTCATGCATGGTTTTGGGTGTTTATTGGCCACTCCACAGGGTTTATGGGTCCGGGCTTTTTTCAGTGAGTGCTCAGCTCCTCCAATTTTAACAAAACAACAGCTTGGAAATTGCCCCACAATACAGGTGTTTCCGATTTATCGGACCTCATAATTTCAACAACATACGACCTTCCCAACGACCCCGCCCATGTTCTTCAACACGGCAGGTCTACGGAGGCATCTTGGCCATCCGTCAGATGGTCACTCGGCTTCTGACAGTTCGAGCTCGATCCGGATCGCCCGATCCGGTCAGACCGGGTGTCCATTGGGTTTGTCCCAGCGAGGCGGCAACAGTCGGTCGAAAGGTTGTTCAAGGGAGGGGCCTGCAGGGCCTGCAACCTAACCATCAGACACTGAAACCTAGCCATCAGACACTGAAACCTGGTCATATATATATATATATTGTTATATATATGGAGTCCGGCCAAAAGTCTATTAAAAAAAAAAAAACATAAAGGGGTCGAAAGTAGCTTATGATGTTGTTTTTTCAATTAGATTATGTAGCGGGCCCCCAGCTAAACACACCTATTCTGCAGCTGGGCGCTAGGTTTGCGGTAGACTTGCGCTAGTGACGCTAGTATTTGCCTCAGGGCATGTTCAGAACCTCGTCAGGTTTTTGAAAAGTGGCTGGCTGAAAAATGCGCTAGCCGCGCGCTAGGACTGCGCTAGATCCGCGCTAGCAAACATTGCCAGAGTCCAGCGTGGACCCTTCCAAGGCTGAGTTGCAACATGTCTTTTGTTTCAAGCACGGCTTGAAGCTCGGAGATCAGCTGAAAACGCTGCAGATCTTACAATTTGGCGCCAATTCTTGTTTGGTCCATGTTTCCTTCATTGACCAGCTGTGTGTGCCAAAAGTAAAGAATATGTAGCGGGCCCCCATGTGAACACGACTTTCAGCCATTTTTGGAAGAAGACATTTCGACCAGGTCCCATATATATATATATACATGCATATACCCAAATGATCAGCATTTTGGAGATGTCGGGCTGCAAACTGAGCATCGTTATCCGCCCAGGAAATAGATACCCAAACTTACTCCCCCTCCAAGAAACAATGCCCTCTTTCGAAGATGGGCCAGGGGGGGTGCAAAGTGGGTGTAACTACCTGAGGAGATGCTTGGAGCCCTAGGGATGGAAGGGGAACATGTCCCCTTTTAGATGGTCTTTCCTTTACGTAAGAGGGGGTGAACTCCACTTCCATGATTGTTTCACTGAGGGTTTTCGAACTCTAAGTCGGCACCAAAAACACGGGTTTTGAGGACTGGCAGGGGTCAGGGTTTGAGATGGTTTTCAACCCACTTCGCAAATAGGATCGCGAAGGCCTTAGACTGTACCTGGAAACCCAAGCAACCAGAAATGCATAGATGTTTCTGCAAACAACCAGTTGCTATGTAAAGGATCTCAATTGCCAATATTGTAATTTCTACTTACAACTCCGGGGTCCGAGTGGTTTGGGAATCACAACCTGCCACAAGTGGCGCCAAAGGCTGGAGAACTTCTGGGGTTTCACCTGGAGCAGGCTCACAACTGGTCAAAGAACCAGGAGCTGTTTTGACCTGTGGATCTTTTTCAGGGTGAAATCACGGTGTGCAAAGGCTGGACATCTTGTTCTAGTTACAAGCAGGGCCCACGAGGAATTGACTCAGGTTTTCTACGACTGGGGTGCACTCGTAGATGTTGGGTCGAGTTTCTGCGACTCCCAAATAGACTCGACGACCACAGCAACCCAGCTCAACCTTGACAAAAGAATTCGAAGGTTCGATCTCTCATTGAAGGTGGCCGGTTCTCGAACCGGTATAGTTGGTGCGGTTCAAGCGACCAAAAGGCCCCAACCTTTCACCCGGCATCCAAGAGAGGCTAAGTGACCGTAAATAGGACCTTACTGGGGTACCTATGGGATAGGCTATAGGGTCCTTCAACCTCTGTTGGATCTTAGTTGGGACATGTCAAGTGGATGGTTTTTGATGTCTTTTTTGAAACTCCGGAACCGTACCTCGCCTGCCTACCCTTGTCGTATCTGAGGACACCGAGAGCTACTTGACCGACGCTCCACGTGCTTGTTGTGGGGGAACGGCATCTGGGGCAGCTGATGCAAGCATCTTCCAGTCCCAACCAGTTAGTAACTACCTTTCCCAGCATTTGACGCCAAAGGAACCCTGTGGTGAATGCCCTCGCCATTCTTTTGCTCATGGTGTTCAGGTTGACCATTTTCCAAGGATGTTCGTGAAGTTGCTGAATCATGTAGATTTGCAATGTCCGGACCCACATGTAAACATTTCAAAACCGATCAACAATGAAACACTTGCACAAAAATCAGTATGGCAACAGGACCAGTTTTGAACCCAATTTACTGTATATAAAGGCTGCTGCACCTGCTGCCGACCCCTTAACCCACAAGGGGCGCAGAGGGAGGAACGTGTTGTTTCTTGTCAATTTGTTTGATATGGAGAGTTGCTTTGCAGACTCAATTTCAGATACACGGCATGTCACTGCATGTCAGTGGGCCATCAGTGAGCTCAAGAATCCTGGAAAGCTGCATGGTGCAGTGTTGCAGGGCAAGAAGGCTGTCACCACGTTGATTCTCGCGGACACCTCATGCCACCATCCAATGCGCTACGCATGGGAGGAGCCGGCCAAGTTGTTGCATCGGCAGAGCGAGCGCCTAAGGAGGTCGAGGACAAGAAGTTCCCGCAGGTGACGCTAGGTGGCGCCGTGAAGCTCATGGCTGGGGGCAGTCCGAGCGGCTTGATGTAACATGCCAGTTCTCAGGTTAATCAAATCGCCCGCGTTGGTGCGGCACCACTCGAAACGAGTAGTGAGTAGTGAGCCACGCGCTGGCTAGCTGGGAGAGTTCAACAAGTGAACGGGCATCTTGGGATTGAGATGCACTGCAATGACCTTGTTTCCCTAGATGCCCTAGGGGTTTTGATGTCTATCAACGCAGGGGGTGTTGTGACGTGATTACTGATTGTTGCAGCAGCGGGAATTCGATCATCAAGCCTGACACAAGCGTGACACACTCCGCGACGACTTCTATGTGTTGAAGCAGGATCGGCAAGAGCTAGGTGGTGCTTCGCACAGTGGCCAGTTCTTCGCACACGTTCAATTGGTGTCGCTGGAAGACGTCCGGTACACGACGAAGACCGACAGGGCGTGACGCGGGATGGAGTTTTGGTTGACACAGACAACAGAGCTTTGAAGATGCCGCTGCAGGCACGCAGCCAGCCAGTCCTCGCCAGCCAGTTCTCCAATTGCCGCCTCTGGTCTTCGGACCAAAGCAAGACTGGCTTCGAGTCCTACACAGCCTAAGGCACTGCGGGTCAAGCAGCCACCAGGCAACACAGCTTGCAATGCAACCTCCAACGGAGCCTCCTAAGACCAGTCCTGTTGTCAAGGATCCATTTGCCGTTGTCCATCAAAAAATCAGACATAGTCTTGTGAAATCGTGGCATGGAATATGAAAGAAAAGGCACAATAATAAACCACAACGTGTCTACTAACGTGTCTATCTCCAGTTCTGAATTGGCAGGTGAAAGCTATCCACATTCGTGCATTCAGTGTAAGAGTTGTGATTTTCTCATCATCCATTGTTTACAGTAAGACAGATCATGACAGATCTATTTGTACCTTTCAAGTACCTCAGAGATGAGTATACCTATACCAGCGCTTCGAAAGCACCACAGAAAAAGGGAACCAGTGGTGTTTTTGTTCTTTTTGTTTTAACACGTTGTTCCTTTTAGGAAGCGCAGGGTACCTGTTCTATTGGAATTGGGAGTGTTTGTTTCAAGGCGTGTCGCTCCATGTCGCCTCCATGTCGCTTTCAAAGCAGGGACAAGTACGTATACTCGTGTAGCCGCTTGGGGCTCATAATGATCATACAGTACCTGGAAGACTGGTGTGGTGAAGATGCCTAGCCCCATGCACACTTGCAAGATCTTGCAAGAGTGCATGTTCTACTTCAGGCGTAGCAAGCTAATTCAGTTGCCAGAAACATTTTAAAGATTCGAGCTTAGTCTCGAACTAAATTAGTTGATCGGGACACAATGAGTTGGGAATTACAACTTTGACCACAATTTGCGGGAAACATATATATATATATATTATATGGTGGAAATTTCCGGAGAGAAAATTAGAGAATGAATGAGTAAACCAAATTTATTCCAAACCAAACAGCATGTAAGCCAGGGGGATCAGTTTATCCTCAACCTGCTACCTTCAATTGTGAAGTTAATGAAGACTTCATCGCAAGAATTTCGAGGATTTCAAGGCGAGAGTCAAGAAACATGTTCAAAAGAAAGCAATTTATTATTCTTTAGTTTTACTAGGGTCATGTCACCACTTTCGAAGGTCCCAACGAGGCTCCCATGGTCCCCGTTTTCGTTCCCGTTCGTGGTCCGACGTCGTTGTCTCACCCGAGGAGTATCTGCGGGACTTGCCCGACTGGTTCCGCGCCGGATCGTTCCTTGGTGACGAACACCCAGCTGGTGCAGGTGTTCCGGTGCGTTTGAGCGGCTCAGGTGGAGGTGTTTGTCCCGGAAGTGGGTATTCACCCCCGGGCCTGGTGAATAAATTATGTTTCTCAGGTTAGCAAATGCAAGAAAGAACCAAGGGTTTGGGGGGGGTAAGTTTGGTTCCGGGCCCCCCCAAAGACGTCTTTTTTTAGAGGTTGCTACCCCCCTGCGTTTCGAAGTCGGGTTGCTACCCCTGGTGACCAGTCCGACAGGGCGGCCCCAATGCGAACTGGAGTTGGTCGACCTGAGGGTCGGGTCTCTTGGAACCAGGCGGTTGGGACTCCCACCTGCGACGGAGGGTTGGACCTGAAATCCCTGTAGACTCTGAGATGCTGTGGTGCTGTTTCCCCCGATCCCCGAATCGGGGGGATGTTCTGAAATGGTCAACGTTCAGTTCCTGGTGGTGCCAAAAGAGGGACTTCCAACTCCAGAGGGCAGAGACTCGGCAGAGACTCGGGCCGAGACTCGGCCGGAGACTCGCTGGGTCCCTCCGTCCGGGTGAAGTCACTGGAAATCACCGGCATGGTCACCTGTTTTCGTTTTTGGGGAGGATTGGCATGGGATGAGCTATAATTTGTTCCTCCACTCAACAAGAAGATGCAGAACGTTTGCTGAAATGTGGTCTACCGTGATTTTCCGGATGGGTCGATGGCCCACTCCGCCGGTCGATGGGGTTGCCGCTGATGGCGCGGATGACAGCGCGGATGGGTCAGGAAGAACCTGGAGATCCAAAGAGGGGTCTCCTTGGAATCTTTCACGGAAGGCTGGGCGAACGAGACGGACACCGCCCGTGAGATGAGGTGAGATGAGGTGAGGGGGCTCCAACACCATGTAGCCTCACCTTCCAGGTTCAATCATGAGGTCAGAACCGCTTTGCTTTGAGGACTGCAATCGCTGTATGACTGACCCCCCATGGAACGACATAGTACCCACACACTACATTTTATATGGGATATTTACCTACATGTGGGCATTGCATGGTCTGGTGTATTTACCCTAGGGCTCCTGGCCCACCTCCTGAGAAGGTGGTATTCGACCCCCCCCTGGCACTCACCCTAACCACCTTCGAAACGGAGCCCTAGGGTTAAGAGAACAAGAGCTCCATGATGCCGTGGCACCCTGGGAAAACGCCAAACGTGGCGGCCACAGGGGTGTGATATCGAGCGCTTCCAGTCGAGTGAACCCGCTGAATGGGTGGACGTTTTTCTTGTCCAAAGAGAAGAACTTGCAGATCAGTGTTTGTGTTCCAAAATGAATCCAAACCATGTTCAAACATGATCCTTCTGCAAATGGAGGTCTTTCCGAACAAACAAGTGCTGTTGGGGCTATTTTCTTTAAGTCATTCTATAAATTATATAATCCCTGCCAATTCATCATGATCGCAGTCTCGATTCCTTTCAATCAAAAAGAACATTTCCTGGAAAAAAAAACACACAACAAAAAACACAAAACCTGGACACTTCTCCACCCGTTTGGATCCTTTTTTCCGGACAACGACACCGTCTAGGACCGATCCAACGGTGCGTCGTCCCCGTGCGGTTCGGTCCCCGGGGTGGTCCGGCGGTCCTGCGTTTCCGTTGAACCGTCGAACTGCGAGGGGCAGACATGGGAGGGGACAGGAAGATCTGGGTACCAGGAGTCACAAGACGGGGTGGTGTTTGGTCCCCAAGTGAGTGGAGTAGCTGGGCACCCCTAACCTCCATGGATCGCACCCCTTCCTTTGTGACTGCTGGTATGGTGAGTTGAGTTTATGTTTTATCTCAGGGTGCTTGAGGGTCTGGAGTTACTTCACAGACGTCATTGTCTTCGTCGTCCTGTTTCATTGAGTATACATCCGAAGTGAGACACACTAGCCCCTCTCCTGGAGTGTTTGGGTCTAGTCATTAGAAATCCCAAATAGATCGATATAGAAAGCCGAAAAGTTGCTGTTTTATGCATTTCAATATGTATTGATCAATACAAAACCGTTATATAAACGGTCTAGTTTTTATCTGGTGGCCAGTCATTCGAAAGTGTGGTGGGTGGTTGGGGAACCCTCATAGCACTGCACGTACTTCTCCACTCCTTCAGTCAGGCCCCACTGGTGTGCAATGTGTCCTGAAGCTTCCTTCGGGTGGGATTGAAACGGTCAACAGCGGCTGAGTGGCAGCGGAGAGGGCGGAGAGGAGGGGCTGGTTGTGCATGTTTCAGGTCGACCAATCTTGCCATGCAACTCATCTAGTGGATGCTCCTGCAATTGTCAACTTGGGTTGTGGCTGCGGAGCTACCTGTGTGCGACTATGTGCGACTGGGGGTCTATTGTGCTCATTGCACTTGTGACTAGCTGGATCATCATGCTTAGCTGGGTGGTGACCCTCCCCACTTGCATCTTTTTTAAATAAGAGGCGTCTTTTCCGTGATGAAATCACGATTCAGGCCACACATGACATGTTTATATTTGCGCTCCAGGCTGCCAAGCAAAGTTATTGATCCACTGCCTCAGTTCACAAGGCGCCATGCATCATGGCAACATATTGCGACCCTTCTCACACATGGGGAACGAAGTCGCTACTCCAAAGGATGTACTTTACGTACCTGTACCTTCCTTTTCTAGCACTTGAGCGCTCAGGTTGACACTTCAGGGTTTATACAGTACGTGAATAGAGCCGTTTATAGTTTGACGTCAATGTTGCTTCTTTTAAACCTGTGCAAATAAACCACCAAGCCCGGCGCCCCCGAAACCCTGGCGCATCCCAAGGCAAGTTTCTGGTCGGTTGCGATGGTGGCCATTCCAAGATCAGGACCACGCAGGTCTCGAAGCGGATCAGGTGATTGTTGGTTTTCCCGAACTGGGCAGAATCCCCTTCTGAAGCAAATCCCTATTCCAATGGGTAAATCCATGTAGATTCCATAGGGGTTTTATCAGCTAAGGAGCCGGACCCCAATGTATAGACCCCAAAAGGGGTCAACACAATCAAAAAACATGGGATTGTACAAAGATGCCAGAGAAGAGTCTATCAGTCTATCGATATATTGCGTTCCATGTTTTGCACCACGCACCACGGCGGGCAGTTCTGCAGGAAGCAGTTGGGCTTTGCCTTCGAAGGCACCACCACAGCTGAGTACTTCTTCGGCCTCTTGGTGTCGGCAGCGGCATGCGGAGTGGGAGCCGTAAGCCGTAGACAGGGCGGATCAAAGCTTGAGACACGGAGCATAGAGAGAGAGAATGATAGAGAACCCTACAGTAGACCCTACCCCTAGTCTTCATCGAGTATGAGTCTACTGAGTTTGCAGATTTGCAAAAAAATGGCTTTCACGGGGAAGGCACGTTGATCGCCCAAACAACGGCCTATTTTCCTTGGCTTCCGGCGCACGGAACATACCGAACATACCGGACGAAGCGGGATACACGACGTTTGGGCACCCAAGACGCCCGGTCTGTAACCCTGCCTCTGTGCTTCTTCCTAACCCTTTTCACAGCCGTCTGTCCCAACCCGTCTTTTCCTATGGTTTCAGGATCCCCCGCCCAAACTGGCGCCATAGATTGGAACAACCAGAACTGTTTCCAGTGGTTTTGGTTCCCAGGTTGATCTGTTGCTCCATGTCTTCAGCCGCCTTGGTCGATACCTCTTGACCTTGGGTCAGAGAGGTCGGTGTAGAGTACCTAGAGTGGACCTTGAAACGTACCTCAGATCATGGGTACAAGGGCCCATCAAGTACCAGGGGCCCCCGGGGCCAGGGGGTGTCCAATTAGAGCTCCGAAAAGAGGTGATTCGGGGTATTCATTCAGGGTATTCCAACCAGGGGGCCCTGGTATATACTAGACCTGTTTTGTTGTTCACCATGTATAATACATACTTTTTTTAATCATATCCCATAAGGAGGTGGTTTTGTGGGGGGCGGACGGGTGGACAATGAATCACCGCTATAGACGGAACATCCTGGAACTTCCTCATTTTTTTGCGGTGTGAAACAAAACATCTTTTGGAGTCACAGCCTTATATTTGAGTCTGCGGATGTGTCTCTAGTCTTTTTCTGATTTTTTCTGATATTCCATGTGCGTTTATACACAAGCTACTGGCATTTATTGGTGAGCCACAGGCGTTTTTTCCCGAACGTGTTTCTGAAGCGGACGTTTATTTCGGTTGCGGATGTTGATGTGGTTCACCGACCTAAATAAAGGTATGTTGAACTACCGACCCCATAAAAGCAACCACGAGGTTGCAGGTATATATACCCTATTTTGAAAATGCTTGGCGTTGAATTTATGCCTTTTTGGGCCCACTTGCGCCATGTACTATTGGCAACCCAATTTTCATGTATGTTGGATTTGTTTTTGCTCAAGTCTGGCCTGGAGCTTGGAGGAAGTCGGGGTGCCCACTATGCACTCACTGGATTGGACTAAACACCACCCAGCTCCATGTGACTCCTGGTTTGCACTCCATTTTTTTTTCTGCATGAAGGTTTAGATGCAGCCTTCGAGAACTTTGAGCTCAACGCAGAGAACGCACCATGGCAATCCATGGATCATTTGTTCTATACCTGGTTCTTCAGTTCGTGACCGAACTTGATATCCTGGTTGGTTCGGTCATAAAGGAGCCTGTAACAGGCCACGACTGGGGACTCCAAAAGGGTCACGAATTGAAGAAGCTGGTACTTGATGTGTCCAAAATACCACCATCTCACCTCTGATTGCTCTGAGTGCTCCCTGACCATTCCAGAGACAAAACGCCTCTTGCAAGGATCATCCATGGATGGACCCTTTGTTTTCCCAGTGGGTGGTAGATGAGGTCGGCCACTTTCTGGGGACAGCTGACCTTGGAATTCGCCACTTCTCCGGACCCCAAACCGAGGAGCGCGTTTGAAGCGCTCAAACCGATGGGCACACAAGACCATGACCTTAATTCCCAGTGACCGAACGCAAGACCCTTCGCATCGCAGTAGCTCAAGTCACTTAGGTCGTTTGACTTACCACTCCTGAAGAGGTCACGAGTGGAAGGTCCGTGTTGAAAACACCACGGGTGGTCCGACGTGTCAGCGGAGTTGAGCTGCAGAATCGCTGAGAGAGAGAGAGAGAGAATCAGAATAGCTGTGCATGTCCTTCATGCAAATCCGGGAGTGTCATTGATGTTGTTTGTGTGTGTGTTTCTTCTATTTTCCAGGTGGCGTCCGTGTGCTTGACACAAGACCAGGAGAGGCAAGCAAGTCGTACGGCACCAATTTTCTGGTTGCAAGACATGTTGATGGGGCTATCAAATTTCACGAGGTTTGGGATTTTGGGGGCCAAGTGCGATTTGGAATAATTTGTAGTTTTGAAGACGCTGGGTGAGGTTCAATTTGTTGGTGTAGCGCCAGCATTTCATTTGGAACCTTGCAACATGTTTGGCACAAAGAAAATTATGAGAACAAAAAAAGAAGGTCATCAATGTTGGCATGGTCTCTCTAGAATATGATTGTATGACTGATTACATAATGAACCACTATTAAACTGGTTGAAAAGAATCAAGCAAGAAAGACTTTGGACCTTAAAGTCACATCAGCTGTGCGGCCCAACTATTAAAACCAATCTGACATAAAGGAACCCATGTTTGAACGCAGGTGAACGAGAATCCGGTAGACATAGGAGACAACATTGCAAACAAAAGAAACCATGTCAGCAACGTTGGACGTATACAAGCAAAACCAGTGGGAACCAAGCTGTGAAGACAGCTTGGGGCAATAGGCAAAAGCAGTGGGAGCAAACCACAAGGTTGGATGGCGGAAACAAATACTGTAGTCGAAAGTAACACCAAAAACCAAGGGTTCAGTCGGGATTGCAACAGTTTCGGTCAATCGAGGCTGCAAACTGAAACAGCCGGGAAACAGTCGGGAAACAGTCGGAAACAGTCGGGAAACAGTCGGAAACAGTCGG